AGCTTACTAGTCAACATTTTTACTCTCCTTGAATAAGGGGCCTCAATCTCAATAACTTCATTCTCTTTAATATCTTTAATCACCCATAACTTGTTCTTGTATCTCACTGGTCTGCCAGGTTTGAGTTCCTCATCTTCATGCACAGAGTTTTGGTGAACTAGCTTCTCTTCCATGTCTTCCTTTTTCGTCTACTATTGGCAGTCTTCTCTACTTCCAGACCTAAAAAGAGAGGTTTTGAGGATCTTTTGCTCCTAGTACGTATTTTATCGTGCATACACTAAAGAACACTACACTAGAGCACTCAATTAGCCCAAAACAATAAAAATAAACAAAAATTAAAAACACTAAAAATAAAATAATAAAAAAATAAAATAAAGTCTAACCGGTTAAGAATCACACAAAAGTATAGTATAAACCACGAGTCCCCGACAACGACGCCAAAAACTTGTTAAGACCTTGGCAAGTATACCGAGTCGTATCAAGTAATAATAAATGGTAAGACCAAGATTCGTATCCCAAAAGACTCACGTTACTAAACAATCGTGCAATTACTTAACTAAATAAGACTGAAAAACTATTTTGTTGGTTTTTAAATGCAAATGCAACAAAAGTAAATATGAATGCAAATTGAACAATTGAGGCTAAAACACAAATGAATGGATGTGTTGATGATATGAGATGATTATGTTGTTGGGGTTTAGATTTCACCTTTCTTACTTTCATGCATATAAGAATTCATCTTCTTCATTAAAATGTTAACGTCACCTATCTTTAATTATTAGACCACAATTCCTTGCATCCCTAATAATCAATTATGCATTACGAACAACAGCTTAAGACAACCAAACATTCTATCCCTATCCCTAGGCAATATTTCTTTTGGGTGAAATTCTCTAGATCATGGTTTCTAGGTATTTCCAAATAACAAAGAAATCCAAACATCATGCTATGAGTGATCAAAACATAACAAGCATTAAGCAAAGGAGGAAATCACTAACAATTAATGAAAGAAGCATAAAATAATTCAAATCATATTCAAATACATGAAAGTTTAGAGGTTACATCTTCCCCAACAACAAATGAGTTTAGTTCTCCCTCATCATTGAGAACCTTGGTGTACAATGGAAGAATGAGATAAAGACCCTAGAAAGAAAAGAGGAGAGCTCCCGCATCCCCCAATCTGCCTCCAACAGGGCGAAAAGTATGTTTCTATGCTTCAGCCATCAACCCTAGGGCATGCAAGTCCTTAAATAGATAAAAAATTGCCCATAAGCCCAAGTCGCTAGCGCTCAGTGCCCCAACTAAGGGCAAGCAGGTGCTCAACAATGTAGTTGGTTGGCGCTCAGTGCCCCTCAGAGGGCAAGCAGGCATTGGTCCTTCTCCTTGATACTTTTGCTCGTCTTCCAAAACATACCCATAACCTACAAAATTAAGGGAATTTAGTTATAAAATCATAAAGTATAACCTCAATTCACTTATTCACAAANCTAACAATTAATGAAAGAAGCATAAAATAATTCAAATCATATTCAAATACATGAAAGTTTAGAGGTTACATCTTCCCCAACAACAAATGAGTTTAGTTCTCCCTCATCATTGAGAACCTTGGTGTACAATGGAAGAATGAGATAAAGACCCTAGAAAGAAAAGAGGAGAGCTCCCGCATCCCCCAATCTGCCTCCAACAGGGCGAAAAGTATGTTTCTATGCTTCAGCCATCAACCCTAGGGCATGCAAGTCCTTAAATAGATAAAAAATTGCCCATAAGCCCAAGTCGCTAGCGCTCAGTGCCCCAACTAAGGGCAAGCAGGTGCTCAACAATGTAGTTGGTTGGCGCTCAGTGCCCCTCAGAGGGCAAGCAGGCATTGGTCCTTCTCCTTGATACTTTTGCTCGTCTTCCAAAACATACCCATAACCTACAAAATTAAGGGAATTTAGTTATAAAATCATAAAGTATAACCTCAATTCACTTATTCACAAAACTAAACTAAGAACAAGAGTTCAAGCAAGCTTCAAAGTCACAAAATGTTGATTTAATATCAAAATTGCATCACAGATAACAGTATATTCAACCGTTATCAATGCTAAAGCTAAAAATCTTGCATGGTTGACCCTTAAGGTTTGGTCTTTTAGTCCATACTTTGTTACATTTTGGACCATTATAGTGATGTTCCTTAACATGTTATCATTATAATGATATATTGTAGTGTAAAAGACAAAGCGAGTCATATAAGTGTGGTTACTACATCATGTATTGGATGATAACCACTATTCATGCCCATGTTACAAGTGGATGGGAAATGCTAAAATTTTTGTATTGAATTTTTTTCTCTATAGTTTAGAATTCATATACTCTAATTGAAATTGTCAACACCCAATTTCGTCCGGGTAAGTAAATATTTAAAAATAAAAAAAAATAAGAGAATAATAATTAATGGTGGGTAAAAAGGGATAAAATAATAACTTTAATACCAAACACAATATTTTTGAAATGTTAGTTTAATATGGTAATAATTTGAATTAATATTATGCTAATAATTATAAACAATAATTAAAATAGTATATTAATATAATTTGTTGCATCAGTTGCTTTTAAAGAGGAAAATATGATTTTCTAACAATAATGATAATCAATGTTTTGAATATTATTTAATTTGTTTTCTGGCAACCAAGACCATTTCTTTCCCTATTTTGTTTTATTGTCAATTAATTCACAATTAATTCACAATTAATGCAAGATTTCCATAATATTATGATGTGTGTATATAAATACGCACTCTGTAAAAAAGAGAGGGGGGAATATTTTGAAATAATAGAGATAGCAAGAGTACTGAAGAATATGGAGAAAAGTAAGTTCTCAGGTTAGAGGAACTCTGCCAAAAGAGATCACCAAGGGAGAACTAGGGGAATACTGAAAGCTAAAAAGGTATGTCGCCTCTACATCATTCTTTTTTTTCTTTTTATTGTACTCTGAAGTTTTTTTTTCTAAAGGTATGTTTTCTTCCTATACACAAATAATGTTTTTTTAAAATCATAATTTTTTTTATAAGTATGTGTCGGCCTATGGCCGGTTTCTTTCTTTTTCCCACCATTTTTAAATAAATAAAAAATACAAAATCTTCAAAACCAAAAAAGATGTCAATCTTGTTAAACCAAATATTTTTCGGATTCACTTTTTTCAAAAATCTAAATCAATCAATAATAATTTTCAAACAAACTCACAAACGTTTTTCTACATAAAGAACTACGTGATCCCTGATTGTCCATTATAAATGGATGTACGTAGGACCAAGGTCAATTCTTGTCGGGTTCATAAAACAAAAAATATTTTTTGTTTCTTAATAGTTTTTTTTATTTTATTTTATTATTTTGTTTAGGGAAAATTAGAATTTTGCAAAACCACGTCAACTTTATACATTTAATTAAAGGTACTGCCTTTGGGCAGGCGCGATAGGGTGCTAACACCTTCCTTATGCGTAACCGATTCCCGAACCTGAAAATCTCTTTTCGTAGACCATGTCTTATTTTATGGTTTTCCATAGTTTTTCCATAATAAATTATGGTGGCGACTCCACAAATCTATTTCTAAAAACCGTTTGTTTTTCGGCTCGTCGTCCCGTCGCGATTTCGGTTGCGAAAGATGGCAACTCCACTAGGGACGTTAGAGAATCAGCCCTTCTTAATTAAATGTGCAAAATTGATGTGGTTTTTCTTTATTTTATTTTATTTCATTTTTTTCCCTTTATTTATATATGTTTGTCTTTATTTATTTTTGTAATTTATTTATATTCTTTTCTATTATTATTATTATTATTATTGTACATATCATGAGTGGGACCCTATACCCGGGTCTGAGTGCAACATAGAATTAGAGGGGTTGTGTAGCGGTGTCACGTCTGGACTATTTCCAGTTTGGCTATCGTGAGAACCTCAGCCAGTGTCTGTTCTCTTTACATGCAATTTTACACCTAGTTGCGTTTCAACTGTTGTGGAAAAGCTGTGAAAAAGACTATAGCTCTGGTGGCCTTAATTTTAGGTTTAGGAAGCTTTCCCTGTGAGATTGCATATGCAATGCTTAGACTTTAGGACATTGGACCTACATTAAAAGCATGATAAAAACATGTTGTCTTTTAATTATTATTTTTGGCATAGACATCTTCATACATCATATGCGTTAGCAGCATTTTCATCCTTTTTCCTTCATTTTCTTTATACATAACAATAAATGTATCATGTTTTTCTTTAAATAAAAGAACAAGAACAAAAATATCATGCTTTAATGAATAAATTAATAAGGAAAAATAAACACTTTTTAGTCAAATGAATTAATAAAACTTTCATGTTTTTTGAAGCATTTATTAACATGAAATCGTGAAAATAGTTTTCTTCTTCATCTTTTTCTATCATCCATCTTTATCCATAAAAAAAATCAGTTTATAAGGGGCAACTTATCTAAGTTACGATTTTCGAAAATAAGGCGATCATAATTAAAATAAAAAAAACAGGGGCAATTTATCTCAATTTATATACGTAGCAAAAAAATAAATAAAAAAAATTGAAAATGAAAAAAAAAACAGGGGCAACTTATCTAACTAGCCATACAAAAGAAAATCAAACCATTTGGGGCAATCCTTTTTCAGTAAACCCTTTCCATACCCGCTCCCCATCATGAACAAAACCCATGCCTAAAAACTGGGGCAGCTTTGACATTCATGGATACATATCTCCATACTTACTTTACCAAACACCAACATCCTTTTGGTGTGTTGTATCTCATATTCACATATTACACGCAACGTGGCTATCCGGTGTCCTTTAAATCCTTACTACTTTCAACTTTTCTGTGATTTCCATTTATTTGTAGCATGCATCATTTCTGTATTTTTGCATAATTCGTTTTCATCTAATCCAAATTAATAAAAACAATATAAAGTTTAAGAAAAAAAAACAACGGCGAAACTTCCACGACATCCTTATAAGACTTGAGCAAACTCCAAAGCTATGGAAGATTGGGAAGAGGAACGTGAAACTGTAAAGGCCGATATTAGTCAGCTAAAGGATCAAGTCGGTCAAATTTTAGAAGCTTTGAAAACCATGAAGGGTGCAGGAGAGATTTCGTCTGTAAAGGCCGAGGATAATGCTCACCCTCCAATACATAACGCTGTAGGAACACAATTCACATTTCCAATGTATGGTTTGCCACCAGGTTACACACCACCCATTGGAGATCATTCAGAGGCAGAGCACACTTCTTTGGCACTTCCCATAACAAATGGTTTACTTCCTATTAGTACTAAAGGGCCTATCCTCATGACAGAGACGAAGGTGAATGAAACGTCCATGTCTCCCCACACAATTGTCGCACAAGATGTTGCTTTGCAGGCGAACGTAGAAGGAGCGAAGGATAAACTCGAAGTTCTAGAAGGTAGACTGAGAGCCATAGAAAGGTTTGAAAGTTATGGGTTTGGTGACGTGGCAAGGTTGAGTTTAGCTCCAGGAGTGACCATTCCACACAGGTTTAAGGTGCCAGAATTTGAGAAATACAAGGGAAACACATGCCCTAAGAATGATTTGACTATGTATTGTCGAAAAATGGCTGCTTACGCTCATGACGACAAATTACTTATCCATCTCTTTCAAGATAGTTTGGCTGAAGCGGCATTGAGTTGGTATACACATTTGAATTCCTCGCATATTCATTCTTTGGCAGATTTGGCAGATGCCTTTGTAAGGCAGTACAAATACAACGTGCATGTTGCACCAAACAGGTTACAATTGCACCACATGGCGAAGAAAGAGGAAGAGTCTTTTAAGGAATATGCGCAACGATGGAGAGAGTTGGCAGCACAGGTTGAGCCACCTCTATATGATAAGGAAATGGTTGCAATGTTTGTGAGCATACTACAACCACCTTTTTACGAGCATATGATTGGTAATGTGTCTTCCAATTTCGCCGATATCATCATCATAGGTGAAAGGATAGAAATTGGACTGAAGAATGGGAAAATTTCATCTCAAGCCACCACTTCGAAGAAATCTGTTTTTAATCCGGAAAAAAAGAAGGAAGGAGGGGTGCATGCGACATCATCAGTGCCTATGTGGGGAGGTCATACCCCCACTCGTAGCTATCCACCAAGCCCAAGCTACCCTCCCTATGTGAACAACACAACGCCTGCTCCCCAAATTAAATCTCAACCGCCAGGATATTATCCACCACCACAGGCTTCAAATAATGCTTGGAGAGTAGGAGTTGGCATGGGTCCTGATTGGAATGTTGGTCAGAACACTCATCCTAGGAGAGAACCAGAGAAGAATTTCACTCTCATTCCTATGACATACACAGAATTGTTACCTCATCTCTTAAAGAAAGGCATGGCCAGTATTCGTCCCATGAAACATTTACAACCTCCATACCCTCATAATTATGATCCAAATGCAAGATGCAATTTTCATGGGGGAAGCATTCGCCATTCGACTGAAAGGTGCGTGGGTCTTAAGTTCAAAGTACAATCGCTAATTGATGCAGGATGGTTGAAGTTCCAGGAAGACAAACCCAGTATTGAGGTCAACCCCCTTGCTGAGCATGGAAACGCCTCAACCAATGCCATCGAGGTTGGACGACACAAACTAGTAAGGAATGTAAGTGAAATTCGAAGCTCCAAAGAGATCATTTTTGATAAATTGGTAAAACTGGGTTTGCTAAGGAGCAAAGGTGACCTTGAGAAGGCATGTGGAGTACATCTAGGATCCGAGCATTCCATTAATGAGTGTACCAAGTTTAGAAGCATTCTCCAAGATCTGATCGACAGAAATTTCCTACAAGTATACCACAAGGATAAAGAAGAAGATGTATTTGCAAACCAAAGACCTGAAAGATAAAGAATTTGTCTGTGGTGCTTATTGAAATATAATCGTTTTTAATTAACCTCACTGCTTTGCCCGGAGCCTTAGGGTTCGTGCGTTACGGGTTGACACTTTCTTTTGCATTTGGTTTAACATTAAATCATGTTTGTTTCGTTTTTTTAATCATCTCGTATCTTAATTTTTTTTAACTCAAGTAATACGGATATGACAATGAATGTTTTGAAAAAAATTAATGTTGATTTTCCTAATTTTGAGCACCCTATCAATAACATGGAAGATGATTATGATTGACACATAACCCTCTCCAGTGTTAATGAGATTTGTGAAGTAAGATTCTAAAGAAATAAAACCCCATCAAGGAGAGGTTGAAGCTTTAATATAGGAGAAGAAAACGAGAGATAAGAGGTAAAGATCGGTACTATCATGAAGAAAGAGTTCAACACGAGTTGCTACTCAAGCTAGAATGTCTTCAGAATCAATGATGAAGTACGAAAGCAGTTCGATGCGAGATTCTTAGCTTGGGCAAAACACTCCCAATGGATGGCAAGTATCGTGTCAGAGAAGGACGATGATGAGCAAATGTGTGTCGACTATTGTGATTTAAAGATAATTTCTCATCGGCGCAAACCTGAACAATCAAACTTCACATCGTCGCCCAAAAATGAATGGGGCAGTCAAGGCCGTTAATAAAATATCAAGAGGATTGTACCTTCAATTTACACGGTTACTACACATCGGTACGCATGTCGACTGGGGCAACACCTTTTTCTTTGGTATATGGAACAGAAGCAGTACTACACTTCGAGGTAGAAATCCCATCCCTNTTGAATATTATTTAATTTGTTTTCTGGCAACCAAGACCATTTCTTTCCCTATTTTGTTTTATTGTCAATTAATTCACAATTAATTCACAATTAATGCAAGATTTCCATAATATTATGATGTGTGTATATAAATACGCACTCTGTAAAAAAGAGAGGGGGGAATATTTTGAAATAATAGAGATAGCAAGAGTACTGAAGAATATGGAGAAAAGTAAGTTCTCAAGTTAGAGGAACTCTGCCAAAAGAGATCACCAAGGGAGAACTAGGGGAATACTGAAAGCTAAAAAGGTATGTCGCCTCTACATCATTCTTTTTTTTCTTTTTATTGTACTCTGAAGTTTTTTTTTCTAAAGGTATGTTTTCTTCCTATACACAAATAATGTTTTTTTAAAATCATAATTTTTTTTATAAGTATGTGTCGGCCTATGGCCGGTTTCTTTCTTTTTCCCACCATTTTTAAATAAATAAAAAATACAAAATCTTCAAAACCAAAAAAGATGTCAATCTTGTTAAACCAAATATTTTTCGGATTCACTTTTTTCAAAAATCTAAATCAATCAATAATAATTTTCAAACAAACTCACAAACGTTTTTCTACATAAAGAACTACGTGATCCCTGATTGTCCATTATAAATGGATGTACGTAGGACCAAGGTCAATTCTTGTCGGGTTCATAAAACAAAAAATATTTTTTGTTTCTTAATAGTTTTTTTTATTTTATTTTATTATTTTGTTTAGGGAAAATTAGAATTTTGCAAAACCACGTCAACTTTATACATTTAATTAAAGGTACTGCCTTTGGGCAGGCGCGATAGGGTGCTAACACCTTCCTTATGCGTAACCGATTCCCGAACCTGAAAATCTCTTTTCGTAGACCATGTCTTATTTTATGGTTTTCCATAGTTTTTCCATAATAAATTATGGTGGCGACTCCACAAATCTATTTCTAAAAACCGTTTGTTTTTCGGCTCGTCGTCCCGTCGCGATTTCGGTTGCGAAAGATGGCAACTCCACTAGGGACGTTAGAGAATCAGACCTTCTTAATTAAATGTGCAAAATTGATGTGGTTTTTCTTTATTTTATTTTATTTCATTTTTTTCCCTTTATTTATATATGTTTGTCTTTATTTATTTTTGTAATTTATTTATATTCTTTTCTATTATTATTATTATTATTATTGTACATATCATGAGTGGGACCCTATACCCGGGTCTGAGTGCAACATAGAATTAGAGGGGTTGTGTAGCGGTGTCACGTCTGGACTATTTCCAGTTTGGCTATCGTGAGAACCTCAGCCAGTGTCTGTTCTCTTTACATGCAATTTTACACCTAGTTGCGTTTCAACTGTTGTGGAAAAGCTGTGAAAAAGACTATAGCTCTGGTGGCCTTAATTTTAGGTTTAGGAAGCTTTCCCTGTGAGATTGCATATGCAATGCTTAGACTTTAGGACATTGGACCTACATTAAAAGCATGATAAAAACATGTTGTCTTTTAATTATTATTTTTGGCATAGACATCTTCATACATCATATGCGTTAGCAGCATTTTCATCCTTTTTCCTTCATTTTCTTTATACATAACAATAAATGTATCATGTTTTTCTTTAAATAAAAGAACAAGAACAAAAATATCATGCTTTAATGAATAAATTAATAAGGAAAAATAAACACTTTTTAGTCAAATGAATTAATAAAACTTTCATGTTTTTTGAAGCATTTATTAACATGAAATCGTGAAAATAGTTTTCTTCTTCATCTTTTTCTATCATCCATCTTTATCCATAAAAAAAATCAGTTTATAAGGGGCAACTTATCTAAGTTACGATTTTCGAAAATAAGGCGATCATAATTAAAATAAAAAAAACAGGGGCAATTTATCTCAATTTATATACGTAGCAAAAAAATAAATAAAAAAAATTGAAAATGAAAAAAAAAACAGGGGCAACTTATCTAACTAGCCATACAAAAGAAAATCAAACCATTTGGGGCAATCCTTTTTCAGTAAACCCTTTCCATACCCGCTCCCCATCATGAACAAAACCCATGCCTAAAAACTGGGGCAGCTTTGACATTCATGGATACATATCTCCATACTTACTTTACCAAACACCAACATCCTTTTGGTGTGTTGTATCTCATATTCACATATTACACGCAACGTGGCTATCCGGTGTCCTTTAAATCCTTACTACTTTCAACTTTTCTGTGATTTCCATTTATTTGTAGCATGCATCATTTCTGTATTTTTGCATAATTCGTTTTCATCTAATCCAAATTAATAAAAACAATATAAAGTTTAAGAAAAAAAAACAACGGCGAAACTTCCACGACATCCTTATAAGACTTGAGCAAACTCCAAAGCTATGGAAGATTGGGAAGAGGAACGTGAAACTGTAAAGGCCGATATTAGTCAGCTAAAGGATCAAGTCGGTCAAATTTTAGAAGCTTTGAAAACCATGAAGGGTGCAGGAGAGATTTCGTCTGTAAAGGCCGAGGATAATGCTCACCCTCCAATACATAACGCTGTAGGAACACAATTCACATTTCCAATGTATGGTTTGCCACCAGGTTACACACCACCCATTGGAGATCATTCAGAGGCAGAGCACACTTCTTTGGCACTTCCCATAACAAATGGTTTACTTCCTATTAGTACTAAAGGGCCTATCCTCATGACAGAGACGAAGGTGAATGAAACGTCCATGTCTCCCCACACAATTGTCGCACAAGATGTTGCTTTGCAGGCGAACGTAGAAGGAGCGAAGGATAAACTCGAAGTTCTAGAAGGTAGACTGAGAGCCATAGAAAGGTTTGAAAGTTATGGGTTTGGTGACGTGGCAAGGTTGAGTTTAGCTCCAGGAGTGACCATTCCACACAGGTTTAAGGTGCCAGAATTTGAGAAATACAAGGGAAACACATGCCCTAAGAATGATTTGACTATGTATTGTCGAAAAATGGCTGCTTACGCTCATGACGACAAATTACTTATCCATCTCTTTCAAGATAGTTTGGCTGAAGCGGCATTGAGTTGGTATACACATTTGAATTCCTCGCATATTCATTCTTTGGCAGATTTGGCAGATGCCTTTGTAAGGCAGTACAAATACAACGTGCATGTTGCACCAAACAGGTTACAATTGCACCACATGGCGAAGAAAGAGGAAGAGTCTTTTAAGGAATATGCGCAACGATGGAGAGAGTTGGCAGCACAGGTTGAGCCACCTCTATATGATAAGGAAATGGTTGCAATGTTTGTGAGCATACTACAACCACCTTTTTACGAGCATATGATTGGTAATGTGTCTTCCAATTTCGCCGATATCATCATCATAGGTGAAAGGATAGAAATTGGACTGAAGAATGGGAAAATTTCATCTCAAGCCACCACTTCGAAGAAATCTGTTTTTAATCCGGAAAAAAAGAAGGAAGGAGGGGTGCATGCGACATCATCAGTGCCTATGTGGGGAGGTCATACCCCCACTCGTAGCTATCCACCAAGCCCAAGCTACCCTCCCTATGTGAACAACACAACGCCTGCTCCCCAAATTAAATCTCAACCGCCAGGATATTATCCACCACCACAGGCTTCAAATAATGCTTGGAGAGTAGGAGTTGGCATGGGTCCTGATTGGAATGTTGGTCAGAACACTCATCCTAGGAGAGAACCAGAGAAGAATTTCACTCTCATTCCTATGACATACACAGAATTGTTACCTCATCTCTTAAAGAAAGGCATGGCCAGTATTCGTCCCATGAAACATTTACAACCTCCATACCCTCATAATTATGATCCAAATGCAAGATGCAATTTTCATGGGGGAAGCATTCGCCATTCGACTGAAAGGTGCGTGGGTCTTAAGTTCAAAGTACAATCGCTAATTGATGCAGGATGGTTGAAGTTCCAGGAAGACAAACCCAGTATTGAGGTCAACCCCCTTGCTGAGCATGGAAACGCCTCAACCAATGCCATCGAGGTTGGACGACACAAACTAGTAAGGAATGTAAGTGAAATTCGAAGCTCCAAAGAGATCATTTTTGATAAATTGGTAAAACTGGGTTTGCTAAGGAGCAAAGGTGACCTTGAGAAGGCATGTGGAGTACATCTAGGATCCGAGCATTCCATTAATGAGTGTACCAAGTTTAGAAGCATTCTCCAAGATCTGATCGACAGAAATTTCCTACAAGTATACCACAAGGATAAAGAAGAAGATGTATTTGCAAACCAAAGACCTGAAAGATAAAGAATTTGTCTGTGGTGCTTATTGAAATATAATCGTTTTTAATTAACCTCACTGCTTTGCCCGGAGCCTTAGGGTTCGTGCGTTACGGGTTGACACTTTCTTTTGCATTTGGTTTAACATTAAATCATGTTTGTTTCGTTTTTTTAATCATCTCGTATCTTAATTTTTTTTAACTCAAGTAATACGGATATGACAATGAATGTTTTGAAAAAAATTAATGTTGATTTTCCTAATTTTGAGCACCCTATCAATAACATGGAAGATGATTATGATTGACACATAACCCTCTCCAGTGTTAATGAGATTTGTGAAGTAAGATTCTAAAGAAATAAAACCCCATCAAGGAGAGGTTGAAGCTTTAATATAGGAGAAGAAAACGAGAGATAAGAGGTAAAGATCGGTACTATCATGAAGAAAGAGTTCAACACGAGTTGCTACTCAAGCTAGAATGTCTTCAGAATCAATGATGAAGTACGAAAGCAGTTCGATGCGAGATTCTTAGCTTGGGCAAAACACTCCCAATGGATGGCAAGTATCGTGTCAGAGAAGGACGATGATGAGCAAATGTGTGTCGACTATTGTGATTTAAAGATAATTTCTCATCGGCGCAAACCTGAACAATCAAACTTCACATCGTCGCCCAAAAATGAATGGGGCAGTCAAGGCCGTTAATAAAATATCAAGAGGATTGTACCTTCAATTTACACGGTTACTACACATCGGTACGCATGTCGACTGGGGCAACACCTTTTTCTTTGGTATATGGAACAGAAGCAGTACTACACTTCGAGGTAGAAATCCCATCCCTACAAGTGTTAGTGGAAACCAGTTAGAAGAAGCAAATTGAGTTCAAAACCGGTTTGATCAGCTCAATCTCATTGAAAAAAAAGATTGACCACAACATGCCATGGGCAACTATACCAGCAAAGGGAATTCCAAGAAGGTGAATTGGTCCTAAAAAAGATTTTGCCAATACTAAAGCATCATAGGGGCAAGTGGACTCCAAATTATGAAGGCCCGTATGTGGTAAAGATGACTTTTGGTGGTGGTGCACTTATTCTCACCAGAATGGATGGAGAGGGGTTGCCTTTGCCAGTTAATTCTGGCGCAGTCAAAAATTTCTAATGATTCCATGATAGGGAATGCTTTTAAAGTGGAATTGAAAATATTATATTGTTTTATTCAATAAATCTTTTTTCATCTCTTTCATAAGGTCGTTCTTAACTTTCAAAATGCCTCCCGAAAATAATAAGCATCACAGGCAGATTCACTGGGTGCGAGTGTATTCTTAAAGGATGTCGTGGAATTAAAACAAAACGGGAAGTATTTGGGTCTCACATGAATTTTCACCCATACATTCATGCATTCATCATAGTGTAGGCATCATCATAAGAAAAGCATGGCACACCATGCATCGCCAACATTCAACAGGAATTCGTAAATTCGATAGAATACAGTTCAAGGAAAATAAATCAGTGACAAAATTCAGAATTTTCAAAAAAAAAAAAAATAAATAAATAAGTGCCCAGTTTTCATCCTGGCACACAAGCCCAGTTTTCATCCTGGCACCAAAGCCCAGTTTTCATCTTGGCACACAAAAAAAAAAACCCAGTTCTCATTCTGGCACCAAAGCTCAGTTTTCATCCTGGCACTCAAGCCCAGTTTTCATCCTGGCACCAAAGCCTAGTTTTCATCCTGGAACAAAAAAAAAGGGCTTTTACGAGGTTTGTGCGCCTCTCCATTTAATTTTACGAGGTTCGTGCGCATCTTCATTTAATTTTACGAGGTTCGTGCGCCTCACCATCAAGTTATACGAGNAAAACCGTTTGTTTTTCGGCTCGTCGTCCCGTCGCGATTTCGGTTGCGAAAGATGGCAACTCCACTAGGGACGTTAGAGAATCAGCCCTTCTTAATTAAATGTGCAAAATTGATGTGGTTTTTCTTTATTTTATTTTATTTCATTTTTTTCCCTTTATTTATATATGTTTGTCTTTATTTATTTTTGTAATTTATTTATATTCTTTTCTATTATTATTATTATTATTATTGTACATATCATGAGTGGGACCCTATACCCGGGTCTGAGTGCAACATAGAATTAGAGGGGTTGTGTAGCGGTGTCACGTCTGGACTATTTCCAGTTTGGCTATCGTGAGAACCTCAGCCAGTGTCTGTTCTCTTTACATGCAATTTTACACCTAGTTGCGTTTCAACTGTTGTGGAAAAGCTGTGAAAAAGACTATAGCTCTGGTGGCCTTAATTTTAGGTTTAGGAAGCTTTCCCTGTGAGATTGCATATGCAATGCTTAGACTTTAGGACATTGGACCTACATTAAAAGCATGATAAAAACATGTTGTCTTTTAATTATTATTTTTGGCATAGACATCTTCATACATCATATGCGTTAGCAGCATTTTCATCCTTTTTCCTTCATTTTCTTTATACATAACAATAAATGTATCATGTTTTTCTTTAAATAAAAGAACAAGAACAAAAATATCATGCTTTAATGAATAAATTAATAAGGAAAAATAAACACTTTTTAGTCAAATGAATTAATAAAACTTTCATGTTTTTTGAAGCATTTATTAACATGAAATCGTGAAAATAGTTTTCTTCTTCATCTTTTTCTATCATCCATCTTTATCCATAAAAAAAATCAGTTTATAAGGGGCAACTTATCTAAGTTACGATTTTCGAAAATAAGGCGATCATAATTAAAATAAAAAAAACAGGGGCAATTTATCTCAATTTATATACGTAGCAAAAAAATAAATAAAAAAAATTGAAAATGAAAAAAAAAACAGGGGCAACTTATCTAACTAGCCATACAAAAGAAAATCAAACCATTTGGGGCAATCCTTTTTCAGTAAACCCTTTCCATACCCGCTCCCCATCATGAACAAAACCCATGCCTAAAAACTGGGGCAGCTTTGACATTCATGGATACATATCTCCATACTTACTTTACCAAACACCAACATCCTTTTGGTGTGTTGTATCTCATATTCACATATTACACGCAACGTGGCTATCCGGTGTCCTTTAAATCCTTACTACTTTCAACTTTTCTGTGATTTCCATTTATTTGTAGCATGCATCATTTCTGTATTTTTGCATAATTCGTTTTCATCTAATCCAAATTAATAAAAACAATATAAAGTTTAAGAAAAAAAAACAACGGCGAAACTTCCACGACATCCTTATAAGACTTGAGCAAACTCCAAAGCTATGGAAGATTGGGAAGAGGAACGTGAAACTGTAAAGGCCGATATTAGTCAGCTAAAGGATCAAGTCGGTCAAATTTTAGAAGCTTTGAAAACCATGAAGGGTGCAGGAGAGATTTCGTCTGTAAAGGCCGAGGATAATGCTCACCCTCCAATACATAACGCTGTAGGAACACAATTCACATTTCCAATGTATGGTTTGCCACCAGGTTACACACCACCCATTGGAGATCATTCAGAGGCAGAGCACACTTCTTTGGCACTTCCCATAACAAATGGTTTACTTCCTATTAGTACTAAAGGGCCTATCCTCATGACAGAGACGAAGGTGAATGAAACGTCCATGTCTCCCCACACAATTGTCGCACAAGATGTTGCTTTGCAGGCGAACGTAGAAGGAGCGAAGGATAAACTCGAAGTTCTAGAAGGTAGACTGAGAGCCATAGAAAGGTTTGAAAGTTATGGGTTTGGTGACGTGGCAAGGTTGAGTTTAGCTCCAGGAGTGACCATTCCACACAGGTTTAAGGTGCCAGAATTTGAGAAATACAAGGGAAACACATGCCCTAAGAATAATTTGACTATGTATTGTCGAAAAATGGCTGCTTACGCTCATGACGACAAATTACTTATCCATCTCTTTCAAGATAGTTTGGCTGAAGCGACATTGAGTTGGTATACACATTTGAATTCCTCGCATATTCATTCTTTGGCAGATTTGGCAGATGCCTTTGTAAGGCAGTACAAATACAACGTGCATGTTGCACCAAACAGGTTACAATTGCACCACATGGCGAAGAAAGAGGAAGAGTCTTTTAAGGAATATGCGCAACGATGGAGAGAGTTGGCAGCACAGGTTGAGCCACCTCTATATGATAAGGAAATGGTTGCAATGTTTGTGAGCATACTACAACCACCTTTTTACGAGCATATGATTGGTAATGTGTCTTCCAATTTCGCCGATATCATCATCATAGGTGAAAGGATAGAAATTGGACTGAAGAATGGGAAAATTTCATCTCAAGCCACCACTTCGAAGAAATCTGTTTTTAATCCGGAAAAAAAGAAGGAAGGAGGGGTGCATGCGACATCATCAGTGCCTATGTGGGGAGGTCATACCCCCACTCGTAGCTATCCACCAAGCCCAAGCTACCCTCCCTATGTGAACAACACAACGCCTGCTCCCCAAATTAAATCTCAACCGCCAGGATATTATCCACCACCACAGGCTTCAAATAATGCTTGGAGAGTAGGAGTTGGCATGGGTCCTGATTGGAATGTTGGTCAGAACACTCATCCTAGGAGAGAACCAGAGAAGAATTTCACTCTCATTCCTATGACATACACAGAATTGTTACCTCATCTCTTAAAGAAAGGCATGGCCAGTATTCGTCCCATGAAAC